AATCCAAAGCGCAAGATTTGGTGGTGATGGGAGACTTCAACTATCCAGACATGTGTTGGGAAACTAACACAGCGGGACACAGACTATCCAATAAGTTTTTTGATTGCTTCGGAGACAACTTCTTATTTCAGAAGGTTGAAAAAGCTACTGGGGGGAACCTGTTCTAGATTTGATCTTAACAAATAGGGAGGAGATGGTTGAGAATTTGAAAATGAAAGTCAGGTTGTGTGAAAGTGATCATGAAATCATAGAGTTCATGAGTCTAAGGAATGGTAGAAGGGAGAAGAGCAAAATAGAGACAAAGGATTTCAGGAAGGCAGATTTTGGTAAGCTCAGAGAGCTGGTAGGTAAGGTCTCCTGGGAAGCAAGACTAAGGGGAAAAACAACTGAAGAGAGTTGGCAGTTTTTCAAATGCACATTATTAAGGGCCCGAAAGCAAGCTATTCCTCTGTAAAGATAGAAAGTATGGCAAAGACTGCCTTTAGCTTAACCAGGAGATATTGCATGATCTCAAAATCAAAAAAGAATAATATAAAAAATGGAAACTAGGTCAAATTACAAAGGATGAATATAAGCAAACAATACAGGTATACAGGGGCAAGATTAGAATGACAAAGGCACAAAATGAGCTCAAACTAGCTACAGGACATAGAGTAACAAGAAGATTTTCTATAAATACTTTAGAAGCAAGAGGAAGACCAAGGACAGGGTAGGCCCATTACTCAGTGAGGAAGGAGAAACAGTAACCAGAAATTTGGAAATGGCAGAGGTGCTTAATGACTTCTTTGTTTTGGTCCTCACCAAAAAGTCTGAAGATGAAGGAATGTCTAACTGGGGCTATGTCTAAACTACATTCCTCTTCTAAAAGAGGAATGTAATTGAGACTGATCGAAAATGCAAATGAAGTGCAGATTTACAAATCTCGTGCTTCATTTGCATAATCATGTGAGAGCACTTTTCCGAAAAAGAGGTTTTCAGAAAAGAAAACGCAGTCTAGACAAGGGTTTTTTTTTAAAAAAAAACAAACCCTTTTTCAACAGAACTCATACTCCTGAAAAACTAAGGTGTATATGTTCTTTCAAAAAAGTTTTTTTTTCAAAAGAACCCATCTAGACTGGTTTCTTTTTCGAAAAACCCTTTTACAAAAAAGCACTCTCATGCAATTATGCAATTGAAGCACAAGATTTGTAAATCCATGCTTCATATGCATTTTTTATTGGGATCATTTACATTCCTCTTTTGGAAGAGGAATGTAGTTTAGACGTGCCCATAGTGAATACTAGTGGGAATGGGGTAGGTTTAGAAGATAAAATAAAAAAAGAACAAGTTAAAAATTACTTAGAAAAGTTAGATGTCTGCAAGTCACCAGGGCCTGATGAAATGCATTTTAGAATACTCAGAAAGCTGGTAGAGGAGGTATCTGAGCCTTTAGCTATCATCTTTCAAAAAGCATGGAAAATGGGAGAGATTCCAAAAGACTGGAAAAGGGCAAATATAGTGCCCATCTCTAAAAAGGGAAATAAGAACAACCCAGAAAACTACAGAGCAGTCAGTTTAACTTCTGTGCCCGGAAAGATAATGGAGCAAGGAATTAAGGAATTCATCTGTAAACACCTGTAAGGTAATAGAGTGATAGGTAACAGCCAGCATGGATTTGTAAAGAAAAAATCATGTCAAACCAATTTGATAGCTTTTTTTGATAGGATAATGAGTCTTGTGGATAAAGTAGAAGCAGTGGACATGGTATACCTAGCCTTTAGTAAAGCATTTGTTATGGTCTTGCATGATCTTCTTATCAATAAATTAGGCAAATACAACTTAGATGGGGCTACTATGAGGTGAATGTTGTCTAGACGCTCTTTGTCAACAGTATCTGTCGACAAAACTTCTGTCGACAAAAGCCTGTAGTCTAGACGTACCCACAGAATGGGAAGCAACTGTCTTGGAAGGAGTACTGCAGAAAGGAATCTAGGGTCATAGTGGACCACAAGCTAAATATGAGTCAATAGTGTGATTCTATTGCAAAAAAAGCAAACATGATTCTGGGATTATTCTCCTTGCAGGAGGAATAACGATAGTTTGAATTAGCTTTAATTCGAAGTACCTAGTCCGTGCCGCATGTCGCCATAGGCAGGTAGTTCGAACTACGGGGCATTTAAAAATGGCAGCGCCTGGGAACATGCAAATGAAGCATGGGATATTTAAATCCCGGGCTTCATTTGCAAGTTTGAATGCCTACATTAGCCACCCTAGTTCAAACTAGGTGGAAGTGTAGACATACCCAGAGAGAAAAGAAAAATAGCAGTTGATTACTAAGTTATTCGAATAATAGGTCACAGTTGTGCCCTGATGTCATAGCCCCATGTTTGGGGCAGTAAACATCTGAAGTTCCCCAGCAGGTGCCCTACTAAGTAGTATGCCTCAAGTAGGCATATTGCCTGTCAGGGTGTCTCTCCCCTTCAGTTAAAAACCTGTGCCTAGCCCATGCCAGCTGAATCCATCATGTGGGACTTGGGCTTTGCGGGCTGTTGAACTGCAGTGTAGATGTTTGGATTCAGGTTGGCATCTAGGCTCTTGGACTCCGTGGGGTGGGAGGGCCCAGGGCTTGAGCTGCAGCCTGGGCCTGAACGCCTAAACCTACATTTAAACAGCCTGAGCTCTGCAAGCCCAAGTCAGCTCCAGACAGTTTGTGGGTTTGACTCCACTAACTCAGTTATGCTACACCAGCCAACAGTCTGGCCCCAAATATGGAACGCATCTTATGTCTGGATTTAAAACCGGGGTGAAAATACAAAGGGGCAGGAAATTAAGTTCATCTTTTTAAATTTAGCAAGATGGGAGTCGATTTTGAGGTTCTGAATCAAGACTTTCTGTAATTAAAGCCAATGCAAAATCCTTAGTAGCTCTCATCCCCTCCCCAGACCTGTAGTAACATTAAAAAGGAGTAAATAAGCTCTTAAAAACAAAACAAAGGTCTAGATGATTTTGCACAGTACTTGTAGTATCATCCCCATCCTTGCATAGGTGATATTGTGTGTGTGTGTGTGTGTGTGTGTGTGTGTGCGCGCACGCACGCCTACTTGTACACACACTTCTCAAGGAGTAGAGAACCCTTCCACTTTTTTCCCTCTGTCTTTACTGACTCAAGTTCAAGGTCCTTAGGGTATGTCTATGCTACAGTTAGACACCACTGGCTGGCCGGTGCCAGCTGATTCTGGATTTCAGAACTCAGACTAAGGAGCTGTTTAATTGAAGTGGAGACATTCAGTCACAGACTGCAGCCTGAGCTCTGGGACCCCCTCACCTCCCAGGATCCTAGAGCCTGGGCTGCAGACAAATGCATGCATTCAAGTGTATATTCCCTCTCTTAAAAAAAAATCCAGTGGCTCTTAAAACTGTTAGGAAACAAAGCTATAACATTTATTTTGTGTTTCTTTTGTCTGGCTCCACAATACCAGTCCTGAATTAGGACCTGATTCTGACACCCTTACAATATTCACTTAGGCTATGTCTATACTGCAGGCTTCTTGTGCAAGAACTATATTAAGCAAGAGTTCTTGTGCAAAAAGTCTTCCACAAGAGCGCATCCACACTGCCATGTGCTTTTGCGCAAGAGCGTCCATGGCAGTGTGGACGCTGTCTTGCGCAAGAAAGCTCTGATGGCCATTTTAGCCATAGGGCTTTCTTGAACAAGAAATTCATGTTGCCTGTCTACACTGCCTTCTTTTGGAAGAGCTCATGTGTAAGAGGGCTTATTCCTCATGGGGAGAGGAATAACTCTTCTGGAAGAAGCCCTGTTTTCCGATGCTGTACTGTAAATTTACTTGCTCAAGAACGCGTGTGCAGTGTAGACACTCTGCAAGTTTTTGTCCAAGAGCAGCCATTTTTGCGTAAAAAGCCTGCAGTGTAGACGTAGTCATAGAGTAGTACTTTATTATAATACTCCTATCAGATAAGTCTGATACACATCATTAAAAATAACGTGTAGGAGCCTGCGTGTAAACTGATTCACTGATGGCAGGTTGCTAAGTGACACTGCACGTGCAACACTTCCACTCTTTATGATTACTGGATTGTTCCTTCTTTTAGTGTATCTAAGCAACAGTTGTATCTTATGATACAGTTAGTCCCAATACTGAAGCACTTATTCTGTTAGGCACTTATTCTGTGAATAATTCTGCTGATTCTCTTTCAATGAGTATAGTTTGCTACACTGAGTCTGAGGTACCCTAATGGCCCGTAAAGTTGATGGAGTGTCATTTTGGACATAGTATATTAACTCTTTTACCCCTCTGTGTCTCAAAAGTGTGAGAATATTAAAAATTTAAATGCAAATAATGTGTGGCTGCTAGAAACTAGACTTATATCAGTTTTTAATGGCTATTTTAAAATTGCTGAGAAGCAAAGATTTTTACTTTTGAAAGAAAATGAATGTAGGTGTAAGTCTGAGGCCTCAGTTCTGCACAGACTTGCTCAGATATTTAATTCACAGACTGTGAATTGTTACTCTGACTTCAATTAAACTTTAAGAGGTATAAATCTTTGCAGTATTATAATCTATATTAGAAAACTCACATGATCGCTCCCATTTCTTACCTTCGGTGTTCCTTTTCTCAATACACTAAAATGTCTAGGCTGGCAAGGCTCAGTTAACTATGCCTTTGGAACATTAATTAAGAATCTCTTTGATAAAACTGTATGTGCGCATGTTTAATTGTAACTGTTGTTTTAACAAAGTCATTTTATTTAATTGGTTTTATTTCAGAGTAATACATTGAAATAATATTTCAGCATCGACACAGTGTTTCCTTTTAAGATGAAGTTGTTGGACATATGACTCTTTGCCCATTGCCATCTAAATATTTTAGTCAGTTTTCATCACAGCAAGCCTAAAATATTAGACCATTTTAAGTGTATATTTTAAGTTTCCCTCATGCTAACAAGAAATTATATGAAATTCAGATGACAAAAACATTTGATTTGTATATTTGTTTTTACAGTCTTTATATGGTGCTGCAGTTCCTACTACTCCAAAATTACCTCTCTTCTATACTCCTATTGATTTGGTTGACATCAGTGTAGAAGTGGCTGGACTGAAATTTTCAAATCCCTTTGGTCTTGCCAGTGCAACTCCAACTACTAGTTCTCCAATGATTCGAAGAGCATTTGAAGCAGGATGGGGATTTGCTCTGACCAAAACATTCTCCCTCGATAAGGTAAAGAAAAGTTTAAAGTCAAGATTTAGTCATTTCATGGTGTGTTTTACTCATGATTTAAATGTTTCTAAAACATAAATATTAGAGCTAGTCATCAAAAAAGATTTTAAGATTCTATTAATATTCTACCTATTTTCCAAGGCTACTATTAGGCTACATCTACATTGGCATGATTTTGCACAAGAACTCTTTTGCAGAAGAGTTCTTGTGCAAAAACTCTTCCAGAAGAGAGCGTCTACACTGGCATGTGCTTTTGCGCAAGAGCACCCGTGCCAGTGTAGACGTTCTCTTGCGCAAGAAAGCTCTAATGGCCATTTTAACCATAGGGCTTTCTTGTGCAAGAAATTCATGTTGCCTGTCTACACTGGCCTCTTGCGCAAGAACAGTTGCACAAGAGAGCTTATTCCTGAGTGGGAGCATCATAGTTCTTGCACAAGAAACACTGATTTCATACATTAGAATGTCAGTGTTCTTGTGCAAGAACTCGCGGCCAGTGTAGACAGGCTGCAAGTTTTGGCGCAAAAGTGGCTGCTTTTGCGCAAGATCGCGCCAATGTAGACACAGCCTTACTGTTCATGACAACTTGCTTCTAGTGCTAGCTGCAATAGAAGCTAAACAAAGTACAGCCTCCATTCCAAAGCATTTCCAATCTAAGAGAGACAAAATGAACAGATAGACAAAGTATAGAAGGAAAGAGCACTGATTGCTTAATCATGGGTGATATTGATCTTCTTTTGATAAAACAATGGTAGATGATTTGTTTCTATTTTACTGATAATATATATAGACTATCCAAATGTAACCCCCAACCTTTCCATTATTAGTCAGCTAGTTTCTTTTAAGAATCATAATAGAAATGGGTCTTCAGGTAGGGTTTGAATTGAAAAACTCACAAAGATCTTTCCAAATGTAAAAACTACTAGGATGAAGCCACAGAAATGTTTGTGTGAGCAATGGATTTATGTATCTATGTGGATGTTAGGGTCACTAGGGAAGTTTAGGAATGGTAACAATATAAGACAAAACAGAAAGATAAGGAAGAGCTTTACTACGGCCTGGAATACAAGAAGCTTGAATATGAAGCAGTAAGAAAGCAGCAGCTATTGTAAGATGGGATCAGAGTGATGGCCAAAGACAACAATTTTACCAGCAGTATTTTTTACAAACTGGCAGTTAGGCCAAGAGAAGGAGGTTGTAGCAATCAAGATAGGAAGCAAGAACTTTAACTCTTTAAAACTCTTTTTTTACCACTATATACTTTACAGTACGGTACCTCCCAGAGGTGTTGAGCCTTAATGTTTGTGATGTACTTTAAGATAAAGGAATGTTAGATTCAAAAAGAAATTCAATTGTTTCTATTTATGTAAATAACAAAATATTAATACTATTAAACTACTAAAATATTTCAAATGGGAAGACAAGTTCAGGGAGATGCAACAGTTCTTATTTTAACAATAAGTATTACACAGAGACTTCAGAGTTTGTTCAATGCTAGAACACCTAATCAGATGACAGCCTGGAACAGTATTGGTCAGTATAATGTGTAATTGTCTTGGAACTATTTAGTTCACATCTGACTATGCTGATGAATGCTCAGAAGGGTATGGGTGACTCCTGGCCTGTGGAACAAGTGTAAGTGGAAATTGTGTGTGGGCACGTAACTAGGTGAAGTGCCAGACTCAGACTTGGTCTTGTGCACCATCTTGCTTACTCTCATACAGGCAGGATAATAGGTGGGTGGCTGATGGCATGTCCAAGAAGTTATAGACTTAAGCATTATCTTCAGGAAGTAAATGAAGCACCGCATTGTTAATGGGGCTCTTTCATGCATTTCCTGTTATTGTGCCTGAGTAATTTGATAGCTGCTGAGCAATGCAGCATAATGTGAGATTGAGTTCTCTACCATGCCCCCATCATGCTCATCAACTTCACCTGGCATTTATATAAAACATTCTGCATCTGCCCTGTGTGGGCTCAACCCCACGGTGTCCATTTTTATATGCATCAACAATGGAATAAAAGACCCATGGCACAGCCACATCTCGCCCTGCTCAATGGATTCAGACTTGTGAGGCTCAGGCTCTAAGGCATTGCATTTAGACACTCAGGTTTGGGCTTGAGCCCAAGCTTTGAAACCCTCCTGTCTTGAAGACTCCACAAGCTTGGGCTCCAGCTGAGCATGACATTTTACAGCCCTGCAGCCAGATCCCCATGAGCCCAAGTCAGTTGATCCAGGCCAGCCACAGGTGTTTAATTGTTGTTTAGACCTTTGTACCTTTCAGTACTATGTAACTCAGTTCACATATTACGTGGCTGTCAGTAGCTTCCCCTATACCAGAGATGTAGTCTGTGTGCAGGGTTGCTAATGGGGAATGGAGGGAGGAAGCACCCAGCAGCCCCGAGACCCAGAAATTTAAAAGGGCCCAGGGCTGCCACCCATCACTTGCAGCAGCAGCCAGGGCCTCAAACCATTTATAGCACCACCAAGGCCTGCAGCAACACATGCCCTGTGGCCCCAGCAGCACTGAATAGCTAGCTGAAGGAGGCCCCGGCCCCACCTCTTCCACCTGAGGCTCTGCCTCTACTAGGGGCCCAGAGCCAGCTCCCCCAGGGCCCAGTGAAGATTGTCATCAGGCCTATCTGTGTGCCAAATGAAAATTGTATCCTTTGGTACTTCAGTAAAATTGGGAGAGGTGAGACAGATTCCCTGACGAATGGCTTTGAAAAAATATGTAAAGAAATCACGCAGCCCAACCACAGAGCTTTTCAAGTTGATGACTGCCATACAAAGCATGATTGAAAAACAAGGTGATGGAAAAAGGAAAGTGCAGTTGCATCTTGAGACTTAAACCCAGAAGGAGGGAAAAGGCAGGAACTAAGATGAAGGTTTGAGGCACAGGCCATGAAATCTGGTCTTTTGTGTGCTTTTGCCCTATACTATACAGATTTAATAGGGGGAGACCACCATTTCTTAAATTCGGGGGTGCTGGAGGTTGCTGTTATTTTGGGAGTGGTCGTGATACTGCCACACTCACTCCTGCATCACTTTCAGGGATGAGGCCCAGAGAGCAGCAGCTGTTAGTCAAGTATCCAGCTCTGAAAGCGATGCCCTGTCAGCAACAGCATAGAAGTAAGGGTGACAATGCTATACCATGCCACCCTTACTTCTGAGCTGCTGCCTTTGGAGCTAGACAGTTGGAGAGTGGCAATTGCTGACCAAGGATCAAGCTGTGCAAGCAGCATTGCAGAAGTTAGGGTGGCAATACTGTACCATGCCATCCTTCTATCTGAGCGGCTGTAGGCTGCAGCTCTGCTGTCAGGGCTTGTTCCCAGCCACTGCTGCCAGCTGCTAAGCTCTAAAGGGAGCCGCCACCAGCAGCAACAATGCAAAAGTAAGGGTAGCAATATGCAACACTCCCCTTCCCCTCCCTCCCCAATAACCTTGCAACTTTCCACAGCTCCTTTTTGGGTCAGGATCCCTACAATTAGAACACTGTGAAATTTACAATTTGTAAAATCCTGTCACTGTGAAATTGACCAATATGGAGCAGGAATTTGGTAGGTCCTCATGTATAGGATCAGCCCTGTGTGCTTCATGGAGGGTGTTCTTGTGCCATATTGCATTATACCTGTAATATACAAAAGCTCTAATCTTATCTAAAATTCTCTTAGAACATTTATGTGCTTAAATACATGGTATGGTAAATATTTTAGAAGGCACATGTTATTACAGTATAAAACAGATGCTAAGTATATATGATTGTATTATGTGATATATATAATATATAATGTAAAATTTATTGGGTTTATGTGTAGAAATTCAAAGTATCGTATACCTATGAATATCTGTACTAATTAATATGAAGTAGCTCTGATCTTTTAAAGGAACATAGGGATCACTAATTCTAAAGCAGATTCTCCCTGGGCAAGAAAAATGATACAGAGCAAATATGCCCCAGTAAACACAGTGTTTTCCTCTTTCTCTCTCCCACCACCCTCCAACTCCTTTCCTCTCTAAGATATGGCTGAAATAGTATTTTTGTCTTATTCAGAGATTCTGTGCTGCAAAGATACTATGTATACATTCAGTTGGTAAGAAGTTAGAGGAAATGTTGCAAGGAGGGATAAGATGTAGTAAAGCCTATATAAAGAATTCAATTGCTAGTAAACCTGTCTAAAATATATTTACCTATATTCATATACCAATTATTACTATTTTCAGAACCATTTCTGAAATGCAGAAAGCAATCTGCAATGGCGAAACTCTTAGTTTAATTAAAAATGGTAACATCTGGTGATAATTCTTACAATGATATATTGGGGTTTTTTTTCTATATGGATATTGTACCATATATAAAAATGGAATTTCTCTTAAATCAAAACCTGTAATCAGAAATTTTATAGAAGATTGTTCTTTAATTTATTTTTAAATGAAAAATTTAGGAAATGCACTGTTCTATCAGTGTTGCAATTCATTTTCAATATATGCTACTGGAAAAAAGTGTCAAAATTTGTAATTTTTTAAGCTATGGATTCAGTTGTGATGGTGGTTTCTCCACTTCACTGTGTAACTAAAGGAGCAAGAGAAAAAAACTACAAGTGGAAGGGCAGAATGTTTGCTTTGATTTTTAGATGCTTCCTTCACTTGTAAAAATTTAATTCTGATTAATCAGAGACATCTGTCTTTACTCTGTTGTGACATGCATTGATTTGTGATGCTGTCACTTTCAATAACCCAGAAGCAGTTGCCTTTATTAGGAGTACCGGCAGAAATAAATGTGTAGACTAAGTTCATTCTAAATCTCCAATATTTTTTCACTTTGTATGCTGCAGGTTGCATTCACAGTTTTCCCAGGCTAATGATTAAAAGTAAATTAAATTTCAACCCATTGTGTTGCAACCAAGTTTTTAGTCATCAGTTTATCTTTATAATACATAGTAATAGATTCTACACAATATGTAATATATTTTCACAAACTATGTCTAGTTTGAAAGGTATT